TAAACAAAATATATTTGTTTATATTATTATAAATAAATACTATTTTATGCATCTTAAAAATGGATAAGATACAAATCTTATGCTGAAAGTGAATCAAAAAAATAATTTAGTACTAAAATTTAAAACAAGGGCAAAGTAAAAACTTTTGATTTTACTTTTTTATAAAATACAAAGAATGAAATGATATTTTGTAAGGCAATAATATATAATAAATATTAATTAAAATATTTTGGATAAATTTGGTGCGTCGATAGTTTTGGTGTCTAAACATACAAAGTTAAAATATTAGAGGTCTATGAAATCTGGTTTAATTAGAAAAATTATACAAGGTTTGCACAAACTGTTTTTAAAATTATTTATTTCTATATACCCATAAGTACATTTTATTAATGTATGTTTTAATAATATAATAAATAATAACAATTAATAATATCTATATGAAATTTATTCGATGCATGCAACATTATTTTATTTATATGTTATACGTATCACATAAATTTCTTGTAGACTATATGTAATAATTATTGTTATTAACATGAAATTTAGAAGTTGATTTAACTTATGTAAAAATATATTTTAAAATTTGTAAAATTAATAAAACGTACTTATTATTTACTCGTACATATATAATACATAAGTAACTTTAGAGAGTGTGCAAACCGTAATTTTTATAATTAAGGTACTTTCCATAGTCCTCTAATATTTTACCTCGGTGAATTTGGACACCATTGACATCATGCCAAGTTGGTCCTGGAATAAATTTGATGGCAACTTTGTTCACAATACTGCACTGCTTTTCTACGAGTTCCTGATGTTATCCATTGGGTTTCAATGTTTCTTCGTCGGGATCACCAATATATACACCGGGGCCATCCACATACAAAATTAATATATTGTAAATATATGAATTTTTTTTATTATTACAACCTTACTTACGTACTTCGTTATTCTGGCACTGGTTCTTCGGTGCTTGTCCCTTATCCAACAAATGGCAATATTGTTACGACAGATATGATCTTGTCCCTCGACCTCCAGAAATAAAAGTGACGATTCTAGACTGGAAGTCAGGTTCTATATGCTCCAAAACAAAGGAGTGGGGATAATTCCTAGTTTAATATTTCGCCGTCACGCTGATACTTTTGGCGCCACTATGTGCAGTGCGTTTAATGCGTCGAAAGTGTAAGGTGGTTCATATCAATTGTTACGCGCTTATAAGGAGAACCCGCGCATTGCTCGTCTGGGATTTTGATGAAATTTGGCACAATGGTAGATTTTATGCCGAAACTAACCGTGGAATAATATAAAAGGCATATGAAAAGCGGTTTTATTATAAAAATTAATTATAGCATAGCATGGAGCATTCTTTCTTTTCAGCGGAAGATTGTCTGAGTGGTAACGTTGGTGAATTCTAATTTTTGCGTCTATGGTCAAGAGTTCGAATCCCACTCAAGGTTTTTATTTTTTTTTATTATTTTCATTTCATATTTATAACTGCATGAGTTAATAATATTAAAATTAATTAAGATTTTAAATTGATTTATATTTTTCATTAAATTCTACAATAAAGTCCCTTTTAACGAGTATATAAATTTGATGTAATATTTTTAATGAAATGAAGTCCACTGTGAAATTTTACTGGGACTTAGTTAAAATTTTTAAATAAGCCCCGATAAAATTTTCTCGTTATGAAATTTTCAACGTGAGTCTCATTCATTCGAATGTTGGCTTTGGAATGATATAGCGTGCGAAATTAATTCGTTTGTCTTGATCGAGATTTAATAGTTTTTATTTTTGTGCTTATTGACTTTATATTTTTGTACATCGATAGTCCTAAAGGGGTTTCATGGAATTTAATTAGTACCTAGCTTTACTGACAGTTGAAAGAAAGAATTACTATTTGTTCTTGAAACCTTCGTGTATTCGAAAATGCTGTCTTTAAGAGATCTAATAGTTTTCTGTTTTTTTGCTTATTGACTTTATATTTTTGCACATTGATAGTCCTGAAAGGGTTCCATGGAATTTCATTAGTACCTAACTTTATTAACCATCGAAAGTAGATTGGTGCATTGTGTTATTATTTATTAAGACGACGACACTTATATCAGTTTACATAAACAAAACCTATTCAAGCGGTGTTAGAATGAAGGACCTTATCTCATATTCTATGTGTTTTTATTTCAGGAAATGAAAGCAATGTTATATACTGCTGTAGAGGAGGCTCCTGCAGCAGATACCGTAGAACCAGAAGTGTTGGCTAGACATTTTGCACATTTCGATGAACAGTTTTTCCACTATTGTGATAATGAACTTAAAAAATTTAATACTTTTTACTCAGATAAATACTAATAATAATAGTAATTTATTTACTAAATATACAATATTAATTAACTTGCCGTAGGGTAAGTTATAGTAACGGGCCAAAAATCGAAAATGAAAATTTTGCATATCTTCACGTTTCAGAGGTTTTAGAGCATTTTGGAGTACCTCAGAAAGAATTGATGTGTGTGTGTGGATACATTTTTTGCCCACGTTTTCGGGCGCACGAATCAACCGATTTGAATGGTTCGATTTCTATTAACAGGGAGAATGGATTTTAAATTTTTGAAATTGGTTCAGCAGTTTTTGAGAAAACGTGGATATACGGCAAAAAATCTGTTCACATACACACACACATACTTTTTTCAAATTTGGTCTCATTCGATTCAGAATGACTTGAAACGTCGTGAAAACATAAAGTTAGCGAATCGGATTTTTTGATGAAAACATAAACTTCTCCTTCGGGAAGTTAATAATGCCTCTAACGAAGTTATTATAAAAAATATGCTTTTTAGATGAAAAAAAAAACAAATTAATGTTAATGGGGAAAAATTGATGGGGCAATTTTATTCAGATAAATTGTTCCAGGATGAAATTATTGTTCAAAAATGTTGATTAGATAAAAAGATATTCCCTTTTGATAGAACCTTTATTACCAGGGTAACAGATATTAATTAGTCAAACCTTTTTAAAATAGATTATCATAAAAAAATTTATAACTAATATGCATTCCAATATTTTGTTAATAGTTGTGATTTCCGGGCTCAAATCATTACTTTATATTTGTATTGGCATTTTATCTAGTATATTTTATATGTATAATTTTTTTTGTATTATTTTCATACCAAAGTTTTTACTAACGTCATGTCTGTATTTATTGTTTAGAACAAAAACACATCGGTTGCTTTTTGTAAGTTTGTTAATGTAATAAAATTAATGTTATCTTTAATTAATTTATTATAAAATACTTATAAATATTAGACAATGTCTCAATATTTATAATAACTTATTTGAAAACATTCAGTATTCCTCGAACATTTCGTTACGGTACGGGAAGTTCCAGCAATTTGCCTTAAGGCACGATGCCACCCACCCCACTAGTTATTTCTAATATTATAATTAAAATACTTTTATTACTTTAATTAAATTACTCACAGTGATAAATAAAAGAAATTGTATTTCTGAATTCAAAGTTCAGAATTTCTTAGGAACCGTTTCGTGCGCTTCGCGCACTGCTTTGCGTTCGAACGAACTCTATGCGATTGCAGGGTACTATTAGGGTTACGCGCGGGTGTACTGGCTCCGGTTTTTTCAATTTTCCAATGTGTTCCACCAAATTGATTTGAACAATATTTTCAGTACTAAAAGATAAAGCAATAATCTTTCGAATAACGCTAATTAGAAGGTGGTCCAACTAAACGCACTACCGGAAAACATCAATTGAAAAATTATTTTATCTTTTTCAGCTAATAATAATTAATTATTTGGCATCGATTGTTCTACATTATGTGGCCTAAGCCAATATGAATAGAACCACGTTAATTTTTTTTCGATATCTTTTATGGTTACGTCAAAAAGTGAGTTTGAAAAAAGGGGCCACTTTCACATATTTTCAATGATATCTCGGCCATAAGATGAGATACAAAGTTGAAAATTGGTATATCGGTTTTTATCATTTAGACCTATAAAATGGCGTATAAATTATTTAAATACCAGGGTGGGGCCGATTCTATATGGCAATGCGCCCATACCCTTTATTATATAAATATAGTATATAAATATATATATATATATATATATATATCTAAATATATTATATTTATTTCTAATATTTGTCTATAGTTTTGTGTAAAATATATAGTTAATACATATTGTCATTGTGTTTTACTGTTTACTTCTTACACATATATTCTAGACAGATGTAGTTGAAAAACTAGTTACTGATTCAATGAGCTCTTCAGGACGTAGTGTTTTTACCCGAATGAGGTATGTTAGATTTGAGTATGTCTACTTTGATATCAAATACTTAAATTGATAAGTCACGAATAAAAAATATTATCAATTAAATATTTAACTAAGAAATGAGATTTGTGGTATGACTAAATAAATTTAATGTTTGATTTTAAATATCTCTCTTGGATCATTTTTGTATATCAATTTAAATTTTACAACTTGTGCACGGTAAGACTGACTTGAGTAAAAATAAAATTGTTATCTTATATGAATGTAAATAAAATAGAAAAAAATTGTCTGTATATTTATAAATGTGTTTTCATTCTTTAGACATCACTTCAAAACCAAAAAAGTGCGCAAAAAATTATATACTTATACAAAATGTATTTAATGCAATGATCAAACATATCACTAAGTATGTATTTAAACAAAAGATTCAAACAAATATTCGTTGGATTTTCGAACAAAGAGGCGCTCGGGTACATGCAGCGCCATCTTCGCACGCTCCGTAGTCGCACATCTACAAGTTCTTTTTGCATATCTATGGTTTATGCCAGTCTGTGGAATGTCATTGCATAAAATCATTTTCTCATCGGAGTTGGTCAAAAAAACATCGTGGAATACAGAGGGCCTCTTGCCTTTGCTGTCTGGAATATAATTTGGTATGTTGTACTAGTGCTAAGTACATTTCGCTTTACGGATTCACTAGGATTTTATTTCGTGTTCGACAGTGTTGCGTCATACTTTGTTCAAGTCTTATTAGTGTCATAGACACCGGATATATTTTATTTCATAATGTCTACTGTTAAATAAAACTGTTTAGTTGGCCTTGTGCAATATATTCGAAAAGTGATTGTGATTTGTGAATATTTTGGACTCGGTCCTGAGACTTTCGGGAATAATATAATTTATTTTATATTCACTATTGTTTATACAAATATAAAATACTATTTTTCAAAGTTTTTGCTCTAATTGGAAGACACAAAGTGAAAGTAAATCTGAACTACTATTTCATGTTTACTTTTATCATCGAGACTTTCGTGAGTATCTGTACAAATTGTTAAATTCTAAGTGTTATTTAAATCATTACTATCTTCTAACTCACTTCAATTTACAGATCTGACAAATTATGTACATTGGACCACAATCATTACGTCAAGAATTTTAAAGCAAAACTAGTTTATTATAGAACTGCTTTGTGTTCAATGTACTATTTTATCCACTTAAAATAGTCATTACAATTTGATTGAAAATAAAATTGGTGGAACTGCATTGCACACGAAGACAGCTTTGGTGACGTTTAATGATGTTCATCATAATTCAATACTAATTTCTGTATTTTACAGGTGCAGGTACGTTTGAATTTGTGGCATTTTGTGCAGAATCATTCAGTTTTCATGTCACTGTAATGCACTAATTGTGGTTTTATTGGAATTGCATTTGGTATGAATGTATTTATCGAACAGTGAATTTACTCAAGATATTCATTAATTGATACTTTTAGTTTTTGCTTTATCTTTTACAAATTTACGAAATCATTAAAGCATTGGCTTTCATGAATCAAATGACCACTTGCATGATTTGCATTCTTAGTTCTCGTATCTAATAATACTAACAAATACTAACAAACACTAATCCATTCTACTACTACTAAAATATAATGTGGTCGTTTGAATCTTTTAAGTCTATGCAATGTGGATTTGAAGTATTAATTACATTTCAATTTTTATTATTTTGAATTCATGTTAATGCATTTCATATAAAACCAAGTGCGATTATTAAACTGCTAGAAAATTCCCAGAACTATATTTCTGGGCATCAAGATGAAATCACATGAAAACCACAACGTATCATATCAAATAAATTGTTAAGTATCGAATGGCCAAGTAGTATCGAGTGAAAATTTAATTTACATTTATTTTATTTTATTAACCAATTTTATTTTATATTATATTTATATTATATGTATATACTTTATTTATTCTTTACTAGATCTACTGATTTGTAACTTCATAATTTGTTTTTTAGGCATATTTGATCGGACACTGTGATTATTACACAACGGTCAACTGGAATGATACGATCAAAATATTTGGAAAGCATTCAAAGTATGAATAACTTAGAGATTTATCAAACAATGACATTTTTAAGACGATACAAACTTATTCAAGACTTACAAATAAATGCTCTTTGAAGGGGACTAAGAAAAAAGTTCAAGTAAGTGTCTAAAAATCAATATTTAGCTTATCATTATTTTCACATGCTGTTAATTTTTTATTTTATTTCATTGTTTTTATAAAATCTTTTTCATTCAAGATTGAAAATTCAAACTCTACACAGACCCCATCACGATGGATTGTTCGGTAACGCATAAACACTTTTATAAATTCTCTATACAACATCAATGTTTACATTTCTAATGTTTTTTTATTCCAGATCCTGGTTCAACTGCCAATTCAAAAATGCAAGAATATTCATTCCGACTACTTTACTAGGAATCTCTCTAGAAACATTTAATCAGGTGTGTGTTTATCCATAACCAGTATAAATGCAAACATTGCTAAAATATTTCTTTTTTTTCTCAGGTCCTTTCAACTTCTGCTGCTCTGCACACAGACTCCTTCACCAGGAACATTTAATCAGATATGCGTTTATCCATAACCAGTATAAATGCAAACATTGCTAAAATTTTTTTTTTCTCAGGTCCTTTTAACTTCTGCTGCTCTGCACACAGACTCCTTCACCAGGAACATTTAATCAGGTATGCGTTTATCCATAACCAGTATAAATGCAAACATTGCTAAAATTTTTTTTTTCTCAGGTCCTTTCAACTTCTGCTGCTCTGCACACAGACTCCTTCACCAGGAACATTTAATCAGGTGCGTGTTTATCATAACCAGTATAAACGCAAACATTGCTAAAATATTTTTTTTTCTCAGGTTCTTTCAACTTCTGCTGCTCTGCACACAGACTCCTTCACCAGGAACATTTAATCAGACATGCGTTTATCCATAACCAGTATAAATGCAAACATTGCTAAAATATTTTTTTTTCTCAGGTCCTTTCAACTTCTGCTGCTCTGCACACAGACTCCTTCACCAGGAACATTTAATCAGGTATGCGTTTATCCATGACCAGTATAAATGCAAACATTGCTAAAATATTTCTTTTTTTTTCTCAGGTCCTTTCAACTTCTGCTGCTCTGCACACAGACTCCTTCACCAGGAACATTTAATCAGGTATGTGTTTATCCATAACCAGTATAAATGCAAACATTGCTAAAATATTTCTTTTTTTTTCTCAGGTCCTTTCAACTTCTGCTGCTCTGCACACAGACTCCTTCACCAGGAACATTTAATCAGGTGTGTGTTTATCCATAAACAGTATAAATGCAAACTTTATTAAAATGTTTCTTTTTTGCAGATTTTCAAAATTTTTCCTGATGCTCAAAACATCATGAGTTTGGAGAACTCATTCATGTAAATGATTCGCAAGTGTTTTTTTTTAATAACTGCCTGTAATTATGCATGATTAACTTAACTCTTACTAAATCACTAACACGACTAACCTCACTAACTTAATCAGTTATTATAAAAACCACTTGCTGAGTTTTACAATGAATGTCTTGCTGAGGTTGCTTGAAAGACAGCGCTGATTGATTTATCAGGTAATTTATTTTTTATAGTATATTTTATGAGACTTGTTACTAATTCATTGTTTTTGTTCATAGGGTAAACGACAACTTCAAGCCAAATAGTCTTCAACTCTCAAATTACTCAAGACTTGTTCTCCAGCAAAAACAATCGCTCGAACTACTAATTATGTCGTCCCAAGTAACTACCACCGTCTTGTCGTCAGGGAAGGTGTCTACTGTGATATTATATATAGATTAGTTAAGTGCATAAATGTTCATGAAATAATGAATAAATATACTGTATTTAATTCAATTTGTTGTTTTAATTTAATTATGAGACACTTTACGGCCAAATTACATTATGCTGTAACGTAAATTACTAAGATATTTAAACATTTCTAACTTAATAACAAAAATTTCTTGTGTTATCAATAGGGATACTTATTAAGTGCACTCTTAAGTGCACTCTATTAATTAAGTGCACTCTTTAGTGTAGACAATTGTGCAAAACAGTTTCTTTACTGTTTGGGTGTTTGCAACCATCTTGCCGCATCTTGGTTAAGCTCTTTATACCTTTGCTTTTCGATTCGGTAGAAACGCGTTGACAATGGACTTTGCTTTTTTTCAAACACTTATGTTAGTCGAGTGCCTTAAACATTTAATACGTCGGACCGATGTTTTCTCTTGTTTAAATATTACACTTTCTATTATTTCTTTAAATGGTGCACTCTTTTTCCTAGCTATAACTATCACTTAATTTAACATCACCATGTGTTAATATTAATATATATATATATATATATATATATATATATATATGTGTGTGTATATATATATACTATAATTATATATATATATATATATATATATATATTATTGTGTAATAGCGATCGATAATGCTGCATTGTGTAAGAGCAATGCTGATATGCCAATTAACGCAAATTCGATATCGATATCGTGCTAATAAAGTATTGTTAAAAATAGTCAATCAGTGTTGTTCTTTAGAAGTGACAAGATATTTCAGCCAATATTTTAATAAAGAACTCAAGGCAATCCGAAGCCTACTATTACTATAACCACCGCTCGGCAAGGCTGTATTGACTAGGAGGTCAATACGAACCACGTTACCAACAACCCCAATACATTTTAATATATGAGCCGCTCAGTGCACACATCGACTAACTCCACTTTTTGAAAAAACTGAGATATTAGTGGGAAAGAACTTGGTATAATCATAACTTTTTATGATTATAATAATTTACCAAAAGAATAAAAATTGCCACTGTGAAACGAAAATTTAGTTTGACCACTGAATCCATGTCATTTATTTCAGAAGACATTTTGATTAACTCCATTCTGTAGTGTATATGTTCTGGTTGGGTTGGATTTCGAGTTTCAAATTCACGAATTACGAATAAGAACACAGAAGAACTGTAGGGTGTTGTGGGTCTCGAAAAAAATTCATCTAGTTTTATAAAAGACATCGAAGACGTTACAAACTTTGAAAAAATAACATACTAAAATTCGTGTACCCGGCAAAACAAGAATATTAAAACTGCCTGAAGTTTATTGAAACTTGTTCAAAGTACGGAAATAAGAGCTAACTCAATTAAAAATAAATTTCTGGTCGGTGAAAATAGTTATTAATCTATTAACTCAAGATTTTGTTATTATTGAGTCACGCGCGAAAAAAAATCGAGACATAATTTTACCAGATAGTTGATACAATATAATAAAAACATTTAAGAAAAAAGCGATATTGTAGCCAAGAGTTTTTATCTATTTTTTATTTATTTAGAACAATAAATCAATAACAGAAAAGTAACCATCACAAGGTGCCTAGAAAATTGGCCTAAAATGCGCTGAATTTAGAATAGAAAGGTCCAAACCCAACGATATACAATTTAAGTGTGACTGCAATGAAGATCCAAATTTAAAAAAAAAGTTTAAAGTTTAAAAAAAGTTGAAACTTGATTAACTCCACAAGTCATATCAAAACTTTAACTTTAATGATAATTATTTTCTCACTATTAATAGTTATAAATCTTATATACCGTTACATGTAAGCTATATATGTATTTATACGTTCTAAAATATATTTTTCAATTTATATTATAACAGGAATTTTTAAAAGCAATATACATTACTTTATCGCTTTTCTCCACTTTCTGACTTTCGGAGTTAGTCGATGTGTGCACTGAACTATATATATATATATATATTATATATATATATATATATATATATATATACACCTAAGTCTGTTTTTACACGGTCTTTTTGTACACGTTTTGATATAACACGGTTTGAAATTGAATATTTTTAATTTATTTACACGAATTTATTCCATTTAGCACGATTTGAAATTTTATGTACCTAATTTTTTTGTCAATTTAATTTTTGCGAAGTAGGTCATATCACAAAAAGTATTTATGAAAGAAAAAAGTCTGAAACCATCGATAGAATCGATAGTTTGCGAACACAGCTTAAAGATTTAAGTGAATTCCCCTTTAGCGCGTACAAACAATTTTTTACTGGTCAAAGCAAATGTGAATAGCACTAATTTAATTCTTGTTCTTAAAAATTCTTGTTTTTCACCAATTTTAATAGGTTTTTAGAGATTAGGAACAAATCACCCATTTTTGTATAAGATCAATGTCTTTTTTTACACGTTTTTTTTTTACACGGATTCTTCTGGAACCAATCTCCGTGTAAAAACAGACTTAGGTGTATATATATATATATATTATACAATTAGATAAATGTTAACGTATTTTAGTCGTTTTCATTACTGCAATTGTAAGAATAAATTAATATAATTGTATTATTAAATACTGTGATACATTAAGAGTTTTGAATAAAACTAACTAAACTTCATTTGGAGTGTTTCATTTCACACCATTTTCAGTATTATATATATTAGAAACACACCGTACAGGTGCAGGTACTATAAACTGATAAGCTAATGTTATCATAAACATTAATATACTCATTAATTCGTTCTTCGAAGAGGATTTACTTTTCACTCATTTTTCAATCACTTTAATCTATTATACTATTATTTAAAGTCTTAATTAGTTCATTTTAATTAATATACTTTGAATATTGGTAAGTTTTACTTATCTATACTTATAAAAAAAATTACTTAACTATAACTTGTAAAAAAAATTCCATGCTCAGTCTCGTGTTATTTTCTTCTTTTGCACAAGAATATCTTCATTATTATTAATATACCTTATTTTTATTCGCTTCATTATTACATTAATTACATCATATTCTTACCATATTTTTCCTACCATCTCCTATTTTACTTTACACTACCTTACCATAACCTTACACTACCTTTACCTAATACTTACCTACGTTAAGAACTAATGTACTCTTACCTTGCTTACCTTACCACGTCTCGAACCTGCTACCCTGTCCTCTCCTGCGACTCCCACCTCCCAACGCGCGACGCCACGACGATCACATTAATAAACCGTTACAAAGTAGGTGATATATATATTTTAAATTAAACGAAAAAAAAAACT